AATTCCTCCAATGAATCCATATTTAACAAAGGTAAGAAAGACTACGAAACAGCCCTAAAAGATAGTGGATTCCCAGCAACACTCACATACTCACCACAGAACACAATAAAGGTCAACAGGAAAAGAAATATCATATGGTTCAACCCACCGTACAACAAAAACGTAAGAACAAACGTAGGAAAAATATTCTTCAACCTCTTACACAAACACTTCCCGGAATCAAACACCCTACACAAAATATTCAACAAAAACACAGTAAAAATCAGCCACAGTTGCACCGAAAACATGGCACAAATAATAAAAAAGCACAACAGAAAAACTATCAACAAACCACTCGAACAAATTAAACTCACGTGTAACTGCAGAATAAAGAACGAATTCGGGGAGTTATACTGGAAGATGCGTGCTGGTTTCGACCAAGAAATCATGCACAACATATAAACCTGGCTGAATTGGATGCCGCGGTGATAGGTATAAATCTGGCATTACAGTGGCGGGCCAGGATGGTACACCTATACACGGACTCGGTATACGTGTACCAATGGCGTCAGAATATTCAAAGCGAAAATGAATTATTCCGAAACTCTTATATCGCAGGCAGGCGTACTACGAAAAAGGAAAATAAAAAAGACTAAAAATTCAAGCCAACGTAAATTTATAAGATCGGAAGTCTCGGGTGAACAAAAAGTCTCGTATGCAAATGTTGGTTGTCCTCGACGCGGGCATAAATAGTGAGTCTGTGAGGAAGATGGGACAGAACAGAACGCATTGTTGGCGCGACGGCGTACGTACTAACTAGAATGAAAGAATAGGATGTCACTAGCAACAGCTCAGTTGGTAGCCCGGAGGACTGGACGAAAGCAAGCACTTTAATCTATTTTAGTCATCGCAAACGATGGGCAAACTGAATTACGTACAATAAATAAATAAACGACTTACGGCAAAATAACCGCGAAAATAGACTACCCACAATGTACCACTGACCCGTATATATAAACAGCCGAGAAAAACAAACAACACTCATGGCCTGACGATTGCATCTAGCATGAAACAGCCTGTCGCCTCTAAGTGTTCACTTCAACGTTCACTTTTATATTTACATACGCTCTATCTCTGATATTGAGCATTTTATCCCATAAATATAGCACACCTTAAGAGTATATTTCTTCATATATATATATATATATATATATATATATATATATATATATATATATATATAATTCTGTATTTGGGTATCAGTCCTTCTTTTATACAAGTTTCATTGAAGATGACAGACAAGACACTGCTATTAAACTTTTTTATGAATTTTTTCTTACATCTGTGCAAGTATTTTCTTTTCTGGACATAAAATATGCAAAAACTGTCCAAATGTTCTGTGGATCCCGACGCTTTCGGCTGATCTATTACTATTAGCCATTATAAAGAATGCTTTTGTTTTTTACTGAATATGTAGATTCATATATATATATATATATATATATATATATATATATATATATATATATATATATTTGTGGAGGCACGGTGGAGTAATGGATAGCGGTTTCGATTGAGATATCGGTGAGACCATTTCGAGTCGAATCCATTACATTCACTTACGTCCTAATACAACTATAATCAAAGCCCATGTGCTGGTGTCTGGTTGTCAGTTCCTAGGAAATGAGCTGCTTGACCCTGGAATACGACAGGAGAGTCGAATATATATATATATATATATATATATATATATATATATATATATATATATGGTTCACACACCCTTTTCTGTAAGCGATCCAAACTAAATATCGGCAGATACTTCTTAAACTTAGTCGACAAGCACTTTAACCAAAACTACCCTCTATAGAAAATATTTAACAGAAAAAACCCCTCAAGATTAGCTACTCCTGCACCAGAAATATGCAGAACATTATTAGTGCACACAACAGCCAATTGTTAAAAGCATTCCAAGACGGCAAAACGGCAAGGGTAAAACCATCTTGTAACTGTAAAACCGGAACCATTTGCCCAGTCGGAGGCACCTGCAATTCTGAAAACGTGGTACACCAGGCTATCATTTTCTCGAGAGGAAACACCAGGGACATAAAGACATACATAGGAATATCCGCCGGAAATTGGAAACAGAGACTCTACACCCATTGGCATTCCTTTTCAAATAACCTGAGAAACCAAACCGCTCTATCCAAACATTATTGGAAAATTAGGGATAATAACCTCATCACAATAATCAAATGGGAAATCATCTATCGGTCTAGAACCCCCAACAACTTCCGGGACAGATGCGATCTGCGTATACAGGAAAAATCATAATAATTAAGTACACAAATGCTAAACAATTATTAAACCAATGAAACGAGCTTATCTTCAAGTGTAGGCATAATGACAAATTTAAAATCCCCTTAAAACGCTTACCGCATTTTTTGTGATGGGGAGAGGATGACACATGAAGAGATGGTTCGTTGGTAAGGATAGTAAAACATATGGGTGGACACTTATGTGTGAGTGCGTAGATTTGGACACGTTTGCATATGTACGTAGGTGCGTACGTGGTATTGAATATTCAACGATCTAGTTACTTTTTGCGAGCTTCAACACACATGGTTGGGCCTAAGACTGTCTTGCCGATGTACACCTTACCCATATTCCCAAAATAACATATCTTATATGATTTCCATACTCCATAACTTTTGGAGTCTGTCTATATTTCTGAGATGAGGTATTATGTACAGTATTTACATTAGTCAGACTATTGTCCTCATCTTTGTCGCCATATTTGTCACAACGTTTCGGCCGTTGTACGCTCCGGCCTTCTTCAGGTGGTTGGAATTTCGAACTGAACCCTTTATTTCGATCACTGGGGTAGACTGTTCTAGTTCCACGTACCATGTTTGATGGATGTCAGTTATCAGTTATCTCCTGCTAATTTTCCCTTTGAAAGTTCTCCACTTAACCAGGTATAATGAGTCTGTCACTGGATCTAACCAACGCCTTTATCCACTGTGCCATGTGTCAAGGACACATTAGTCCGACTAATGTAAATACTGTCCATAACTTTTACTCTTTTTCCTTTATTTTTTGGTACTTGTTTTGAATTTTTATTCGCCTCTTTATTCTCTAAATTTACTTGTTTTATTCACCTATTGTATCTGACAATATTATCGTGATTTCTAATTATTATCTGTAGTAGGGACTATTTCATGATACTTACCACCAGTCAACCCACTGCATAAACCAATTTACATAGTTCCAAAAATTAAGAAATATCTAGGCCGGTCAGGATGCTAAAGCTACCACTACTCCGCCTTTTCGTTCTTCTCCCCTCCCCATCGCCCATCCCACCCGTCACAGAGCCTTCCATTCCTTCTATATCTCCCTCTTACGTTCCCTTCAACTCAATGGCTCCACTGACTATTAGACTTCGACCAAAAAAACAAAACAAAAACAAATGCTTAAGTATTACTATATTAATACCGACCTTTATATGGATTAAAATCTCTATCATTAAATTAATTTGGATCGGCCTCATTTCTTCTGTTTAAAAACAGCAAATGGTATCGGCCAATCTAAAAAAAAAAAAACAATATTAAAATCTCAGAAGTATAGAGTAAATTCTTGGCTGGGTGAACTGACTACTACTAACCACTAATCCCTTAGCCCTTTATTTACCCAACCCTTCTCTCACCTTCCCTCACCACTGCCAATCTAATGTGCCCGTCCGGTGTACTTTTTCTATTTGCGTAGGAGATTTCGTTTTGATTTGTGGATTTATAACTTTTCAAAATTCAAACAAATTCTCACTTAATCGCTTTGAACAAGAACCCTATCGTCGCGGCATCGCACGCTCCAAAACATATATTCAACTGTCAAAAAATAACATAATTTTAAAAAACATCTTTCGGTCTACATATATTTCGTCTTAGTGTTTGTCTAGGTATGGGAAAATTGCGCCCTGAAGATGACAATTTGAAATTGTAGAAAGTATTTGCCATGTGTCTTCCATCTGACAACTCGAATATAAGGATCTTATTATTCAAGGAATTGATAGTAAGTTAATGTTTCATTAAGTTCTGTTAGCGAAGTGATTTCGCCATTAATCACATTAACATTGCTATTTAATTTTTGTATACATTGCTTTTTTTTTATTATATATATATATATATATATATATATATATATATATATATATATATATATATATATATGGAATGTTTTTTTTGCTTTGTTTTTCTAAACATGGTCAGCAAGTTTTGGCTGTGTTCATAGTTGATATTATTGAGAATTGGCTAAAAAAAATTAATGGAAGCATTAATAATAAAAAGAAAAGGACAACTTTCAATAATATCAGCTCACCAAGGGGAGACCATTCCACTGCCTTTTTCAAGTAATTCACAGCTAAATTCCAGATCTATCTACTTTTTTCCTATACGCGATTATGTTTCCAATGAAATTTTGAGACACAGGACGGTGGAGTAATGGATAGCGGCTCGAATTGAGAAATCAGTAGAGCCGTGTTCGAATTCCAGTCGAATCCATTGCATTCACTTACGTGCTAATACCGTTGGGAAAGATATGAATCTTTTTCTCTCCCCAGCTATGGGTAAATAACAGGACAGCCTTGGCAACTGGTCTGCTGCAGAATGAAAGGGCAACCTACTGCAGGAAAAAAATTTACCTCGTCAGTCATGTATCTAAATTTCAGAGTTGTGACGGTATTAAAATGAACGCTCAGACGACATGATTTAATATTTATTAAAAACAATAGGTAGAATTTTACAAATGAAAATTTAATTAATATCAATAAAGTTTTATTAAAATACAGAGAAAGTTGTATCTTTTTAGTAAATCAAGAACCAACAGATACTACACTTCGATCGTTCTTTGATATATTTTGCTTTCGTTCATATATCATCGTAATCTGATGGAACATATTAAACAAAGACCATGAACTGAATCTAGCAGAAAGGGGGTTCTAACTTTATTGTAGGCTTTTTTTTAGCTCAAGTAAAAATAGTGTATCTCCGATGAAGATAGATAGATAGATAGATAGATATTGTCTCTTGCATTCTAACATGTCTTTTGTCTTTTTCAGTTGGTAATCGTGGGTTCTGTTGGTGATACTTATCGCAGTGACATCGCCATAGACGACACATCCCTGACACAAGGTCCATGCACTTGAAATTCATCAAGAAAAATTAAAAAGACGTGATGATTAATGAAAAAAACAATGAATTATAATTCACACACACATACACACACAGATACGTATATATGTACACACACACACACACACACATATATATATATATATATATATATATATATATATATATATATATATTACTCCAAAAGTTATTTTTAGTGGATACCCGTGTTTGAAATAGCCGCCCCGTTATTTTAAAGCGCGTACTACATCTATCGGCCCGCACACAGGTATCCACTAAAATAACGTTTGAAGTAATAAAATACTGAATTAAACTAAATCCATTATATATATATATATATATATATATATATATATATATATATGTAAAAAAATGTATATTTAAAAAAATAGAGAAATGTAAACGTTTTTGTCAATAATGTGGATTTGTTTTAGTGTATATAGTATATCTTATTCTTCATATTTCTGCTACACGCGTTTCCGGTTTCGTGACCTTCTTTAGGCAAATAAGAGGAATTTCTTTTAAAAATTTATTTCTTTTTTGCCTGAAGAAGGTCACGAGGCCGGTAACGTAGTAGCAGAAATATGAAGAATAAAATATATTATATATACTAAAAAAATCCACATTATAACCAAAAACGTTTTGGGTTTCTCTTTTTTAATATATATATATATATATATATATATATATATATATATATATATATATATATATATTACGTCATATAAGTGAATGGTTTCTCAATAAAATTGGTATTAACTAAAACAATGTTGGTAATATTTTCGACATATATATATATATATATATATATATATATATTGATATAAGAAATATATCACTAATGTTTCAATTTTATAATATCTATCTTTATTAAAAAATTATTGATAATAACATTTTTTAAATGTCAGGTTTTATGATGGAAAATGAAATATTTTTTCAATCACTTCACCCCATGCAAGGCAATAAAGCCACTAAGACGCAAGAAGTCACTGAGTTTTAGAGAGTATGCGGAATACGACAATACAATTAAGGAGAGAGGATAATAATAATAAACAAGAATTAAGAAGGCAGAAAATAGTGATTGACATTATATTTAAATTTTTGAAAATTAAAGTTAGCTGGGAAGATAGAAGCTGAGAGAGAGAGTTCCACAAGCGAGAAGTGCGATTGAAGGAACTGTTACCATAGAACCTACGGTTACATTTAGCCATTTACACTGTAAAATAATGTGACTAATGGCGCAAATCTAGCACTGCGTTTAAATTCATAATATCTAGGTACCATAGAGGAAAATTCGTCAGAATGTGTTTTTTATTTATAATTCCAAGCAAAGAATATGAGCTATAAAAACATATTTGATTAATACAATATTCCATATAACCGAACATATAATTTTATTAATTTACCTGTTAATATGGAGCTGCTCGATATTCTATAAACTTCATAATTCCCTCAAAAACTAATTTCGCTGATTTTTCCACTATTTCGATTTTAAAATTATTTGCAATATTTTTATCTCCAGAAACCTTCACGCATTTTTAGGCTCTAACCTATGTATATATGGCGGCGGGGGTGGGGGTATCTCATATTAACCCATTAACACCCACGTTAAAATCCGGTATTAATTGTGAAAATTAAAATAAAAATCCGGTATTAATTATAGGTTTCTAACTATAAGTTATTCATGCACATCGTACTGTTTGGGGGCTAATGTGCATTAATATGTTAAATCGAATTTGTGTCAAATCTGTCCCCGTACGGGGGCGGACAAATTATTTTAAAAAACGGTTTTTGGTTTATATATTGTTTCCTATTTTCATGTTAATATCTTTTAATGATGGAATACAATATTTTGGAAAATAATTTCTGGAAGACTGGAATCCCCTCCATTAATTTGGTGATTTGGAAATAATTGTTTGGCAATGTGTTTTGGTTAATATGCGTATTGTAAAAATATTGGCTTATATAATAAAATATGGCATAGTATAAATAATCACTTGTAGTTACTATTCCTTTCACTTTTAATATTATAATATAACCCAATCATAACAAAGTAGTGTACATCTTAAAAAAAAACTACATGCTCTCGAATATTCGTTTGATTTTTTAAATTATACAAATCCAAGTATTTGCCATAAATCAGGCAACAAATCAACACTGTACATAACAATTGTTTCCCACTATTTTTATATTCGTATGTTGTCTCGATTGTATATGTAAATATATGAATAAGAGAGCGATGTAGCCGGATTATAATAGTTGCATATGTATACAAGCATTGCAAACATTTAATAGGTTTGTCTCAATATTGCATTATATGGTGACGCTTGTAATTAGTATCAAGGATTCGCTCGCATTATTGAGGGAATTCAACGCAAACATACATTCATTCACTCATATATAAGAGAATGATACACGCATACGCACACACAGACACATTATGTATATATATATGTGTGTGTGTGTGTGTGTGTGTGTGTGTGTGTGTGTGTGTGCGTGTGCTTATGTAGATTTAATACAAATAGAAAATTTGTCACATAGCTGACTCCAGAGTTTTGTAGATGGATCTTTGTGTAATCGTTCGTTCCACTTGACAGTAGGTATCAGTAAATTTTAAAAAATAATTCATGCGCTTTTTGATTGGTGTGAGATTGATTTTCCTTCTTCTTCTTCTTCTGTACGCCTGACTTCTGGACCGAAAAAGCGTGTCTAACGAAGACGAAACGCCTAGTCAACAAAATAGTTTTCCACTTTGTCTGATTTCTCAATATATATATATATATATATATATATATATATATATATATATATATATATATATATATATATATATATATATATTCTGTTTATATGTTATTACAGATACAAATATTTAAGTAAACCTACTGTTTATAATAAGCAGTATTAACTACATTTACTGGCCTGAATGTCCGACAAATATTGTAGAAAATATGTGTCCTCCGACAGGAATCGAACCTGTATCCTACACGGCACCATGATTTTATATATATATATATATATATATATATATATATATATATATATATATATATATATATATATATATATACACTACTGCTTTTAAACTACAAACTTCCCATGATTTCCCTCGAACGTCCATATCTGCTGGATATCACCGTAAACAAATGACGTCACACACTACGAAATGGACTAAGTCCGACAATTAGTTTAATATATTTAATAGTTTGTAGTTTAAAAGCAGTAAAATCGACTTTACTAACCAGACTCGCCTTCGTAGCTAAACTGATATAGCACGCCAGGCTATATGACGGTTCTGTGTAGGATACAGGTTCGATTCTGTCAGAGTATACATATTTTCTATGAAATTTCTCGAATGTTCAGACCGGTAAATGTTGTTAATATTGTTTATCATAAACAGAGCATTTACTTAAATATTTGTGTATATATAAATAACATATAACAATATATATATATATATATATATATATATATATATATATATATATATATATGAGTCTTGTTTCAACAACTTAGACCAAATATAAAAAAACTTCCAAGAAAAACTTATGAAACGGAAAAGTTACGTCGTCTTTAACAACACATGCCTCAATAATACATATGTGTGTGTGTGAGAGAGAGAGATTTCTAATCACTAATATACTCATTGAGTGTTCCTACCAGTAGTAACTGGCAGCTTTCAGTGGAGATCAATACATTGCAGCTTTCTGCAACACTCTCTTCAGAATCGGAATTGCTTTCAGTAATGGATTTAGGGATTCTTCCTCTGATTTCCAATTCCTCCATCGTTTTAACCAGCTTCTTCAGGATTATTCCCAGTGCTCCAACTGTCACCCTCTTGTTTCGCAAATTCTTCAGTCCTCTGACGAGTTTTAAATAATCAGATGGCTTATCGTTCTGTCTTAAGTTTGCTCTATAATCTGCTGGAACTTCCAAATCCATTGAATGTTTTTCTCCTTCACCGTAATAACACGTGGTCTTCTGGCCTTCACCATAATTACATATGGCCTAATGGTGATTTGTTTTAATATCAATGTGCCAAAAATTTGTTTCTCATTTCCCGAAGACAGATTCTGGTTTGTGCATCTACCATGAATCTATATAGTCAAGCCTCAGTCGTTTGCACAATCCTCAGTTACACACACTTTCAATCCAATTGAACCTATTTTGTACTGTTTGGACTAACTGAATTCGTTTATTATGGATTTGTTTGTCTCATCTATTTCTCTACGTCATCTGAGTCTGTTTTCTTCGGCGTTTTATCTATTTTCGCCTTCCAATCAATATGATCAAAAGACACAAGAGCCATACATGGTGTAGCTTCAGGTGTATTATTATTATTAATATTAAAAATAGAGAGAAAAAACGGGGAAGACTGTATTCTACGAACAACAGCGATGATGGAATTATAAACACATATTTTTGTTATTTTTTTTTATATTTGTATTAGTCTTAAATAATCATAATGCTTATAAATGTGATCTCAATATTCGCAATAAATATTCGCAATAAATCCAAATTGTTAGTTGCGTGAATTATGAAGATCTCGCTTTTTTACTTCTACTCATCAATTTTTGCACACCACTTTTTCTTTAACAATTTTTTCTTTTACTGAGTTTTTACACACATACATACACACACATATATATTAATAAATATACATAAAAAATATATAGAAAAAAATATTATTAAACGGAAAAGCTCCGTAGTCTTTAACAACACATGCCTTGAGAGAGAGAGAGAGAGTGTGTGTGAGAGAGAGAGTGTGAGAGAGAGAGAGAGAGTGTGTGTGTGTGTGTGTGTGTGAGAGAGAGAGAGAGAGAGAGTGAGTGAGTGAGTGAGAGAGAGAGAGAGAGTGAGATTTCTAATCACTATATACTCATTGAGTTTTCCCAACAATAGTAACCGGCAGCTTTCCAGCTCATCGGGCACAAAGTATATCTTATGTTTTTATAAAAATACACTGAAAGCTGCTTCATAGTCAAAAAATAAATAAGTAGAAAAGGTGCAGGTAGGATTCATTTAAAAAAAAATAAATAAATAAAGGAAAAAATAGAAATTTCAAATTTCCAACCAGCGAAACTTAAGTTACACATCAAAATGTAGGTATATGTATATTTATTAAAATATATATATTTGCTCTGGCTAACCACATCGAGCATTATCATGTTTACACCTCATGACTAAATCTGATGATTATTTATCTGCTTACTATATGCACGCCAACACACGCATCTGCGGTTGCTTATATCTGGTCATTTCATTTTACCTAACTCTATACATATATATATATATATATATATATATATATATATATATATATATATATATATATATGTGTGTGTGTGTGTGTGTTTATCTATATTAATTAATGTATATTTTGCCAGCAAACTTTCTTTTCAAACGTCTTTTCATTGAATACGGCTGACAAAGAAGATTGAGTTGATATTTAATTAATGCATATTCCTTAGCTTCTACAAAACGGAAAATGTTAGGATCCTGGAAAAACTTAATAAAAAAATTAATTCATCTTCCTTGTCGATCGTACTTAATAAAAATATATATATATATATATATATATATATATATATATATATATATATATATATATATATATATATATATACATTGTGTTGTAAATAAAATCAAATAAAACATTGAAAAAATGAATTTTATGTCCTGTCTTTACTGCGTACAGACTAGCAAGGTAACCGGTTCAACAAAATCTAAATAAAACTGATTTTGAAAAACAATTATCAGAATTACCTCATAGTCTTTACAAGCAAGCATTATGTAGGAAGCAAGTTTCTATTATTCCTGTAATTTGGATTAACCGGGACCAGTTCTATAATTCGGTAAGAAAAGAGAACAAAAAGTTAATCGAAAATAAGTAGGAATTACAATATACAGCAAAAAACTGTTGACTTTATGATTAAAAAATTTTTTTACAATGATGTTCATTCTGTACAAAACCCAAGAAGCAATTGAAGTAGAGGGTTAAAGAGTAAGAGGCACAGTTTATGGGGATATATGGGGAAGATAACGGTTGAATCTAGACTTGAACAGACCAAGAGTGTAGCGATCGGACAAACGCTCTCTTGATTGCCGGTCTGGCAGATCAGCGGTTCGCAGGAATATGATGCGTGAGTGGATCTTACATCTAACAAATGGAATACGAAGGATGGTTACAGAGTAAGAGGCACAGTTTATGGAGATATGTAGGGAAGATAACGGTTGACCCTATATTTGAACAGGTTAATATTGTAGTATCCTTTTGGAAATCGGTTCCTCAAAGCAACGATTCGAGTAGAACTTACATCTCACCAATGGAATGAGGGTTGTTCGCTACAATATGCGTAGCATGGCGGGTCTTACTGCGACAAAGCAGCGAGAGGCTTGCGAAGTTTCGTTTGTGGGAAATGGATTGCAAGATGGAAATGAATTCATTACCTACAAGGACGACGCAAGGACGCTTTTGGACTCTATTGAGACTGGAAAGTGAAGACTGGGTAACTCCATATGGCAGCATTACTTTTTTCGGTCTGATCTGGCTCTTGTAGACGGTAGCAAGTGTTGTCAGGTACATACTGGATCGATACAGCATCTTTAGCGATGGATCGCATGCACGAATTCCACTTAAGGTCTGGGATGAGTTTAAATCCCAATAGGCGCTCAACGCACGGGGTGTCCCTGAGTGAACATCCATTCGTCGTAATTAGTGATAGTTCTGGGTCTGCTCGGTCCAAGGCCCAAAGATATCTAACGGAATAGCTCTCGTATTTGCTTATCAAAAGCTTCACTGGGGAATACACCAGAATACACCTTCCATGGGCTTAGAAAATATTTCTTCTTTAGGCAATAGTTAAACAACTTTGTCAATATTAGAGATAATTCTGGGTCAATGTTCATGGGAACAAGAATTCCGTAGACTTCGTAAGGTCAAGGCTTTGAATAATTCAGAAAACCTCCTGAGGCGAAATAGAGATATCACAATACTTGTACCCCATGAAGTGGGGATAGGCTGGTAAAGAATGACCTCTTTGGTCTATGAAGGTGTTAGAGGCAAAGGTAATTGCAAAGTGATTAGTTTTAATCAGCCGAGGATGATATTTGCTATTGTCGCTGCGTGGATGTTCTCTTGAACACTACGATATTAACCTCTTCAGACCAAGGGCCAATCCTTATCTTTCACCCTTATCCTCATAATCTTCAATTCCTAGCACCTAAATTTTCAACATAACCATTTTAACAATAGCCCTACACTTTGAGTGGCTCTCGAACCTTGTAATAGGTAAAAATTAGTATTAAAAAATTCACTGGCAATGAAATAATCTAAAAACCGTTTGATGCAAAAAAATAAGTGAGACATTTTTAGCAAGAGACTAAAATCCTTTTTAAATTATGAGTCTAAAATCATCACGCCTTGGGTCAGATTGTTTCCAACGTTGAGCTGTGTGCCTGACACGGATCGGCATCGCAAGTAGTGAATCTGGCCGACAGTATTTGGTCACGGAACTTCACACTTTGGGGGTTGAACCAACAAAAACTAGAAACTTTTTTTTTTCGTTTTAGTAATTTGTTTCGTACGTGATAGTATTACTACTTTGAACATAATCATTGGGCAGGTGGCAACTATACACACACACTTGCGCGCGCATGCACTCGCACATGCACATACACACACACTAATACACATATATAAATATATATACGGGGAAACAGAAAAATATATATTCACAAAATTAATGACATACGTGTATATATATATATATATATATGTGTGTGTGTGTGTGTGTGTGTGTGTGGAGAAAGAGAAAACTTATATATTCACAAAATTAAAGATATATATATTTCTTATTATTATGAACGTTATATTTAGCGGATACAAATGTTTGAATAGGCATACCCATTTTGTAAACTTTGGAATTCAAAGTCTAACGGCCTGGTCATAATATATATATATATATATATATATATATATATATATATATATATATATATATATATTCAAACATGTTTGCTTCAATAATCTAAACATATTCTTTCTGTTTATTATTTTAATCAAATTCATGGATCAATTTCTTAGTGTTTTTACAAAATTGATTAAGAAAGATGTCGTAATTTTGGTTATTTCTTTTATTTTAAAAAGTAATTTAATTGATAAATGGGATATTTTTTTTTTTGCAAATGATATATAATCATTCTAAAAATTAACGTTAAGCATATGTAAGGGAGGTGAATAAGTTTATATTTTTTTTCAATAATGTTTTAGAAATATTCAACTTGCAATTAAAAAAAAATTATTTTTTTACAATTTGATCATCTCAAAACATTGCTTTCATAGACATTTTAAAATATTGTTGCTATACTCATAATTAATTTTATCTAGTTTTGGTTGTGTATTTTTATATATACAGCGCTCCAGGAATTTAATGTTTTGGGTTTTTTTTGTTGTTTTTTTTTTCATGGTGGGGTATGCTTGTATTGCCAATTAATATTCTCTAAAGCGTGAATGTGGGTAGGAATGTTCTTTTAAAAGGTTTTGCAATAGAATTGCACCCGATATGTGTAAAGTAAGCCTTCTTGATAATGTCGTCGTAAAACTAACATATATATTTACGTTTTTGTCAGCGATACAATCTTCGAAAAGACCTTTAAATTGATATACAATGTTGGCATGCTAGTTTTAGTCTGTTGTCGATCTTTTACAAAGTGTTTTAAGCTGTCTTTGATACTTCAATCTGCCTCTTCAGAAGGTTAAGTTTAAATTGCCAAGTGTTGGTATTATTATGAGCAGCTGGACCATGTAGTTTAAAATATGTATATTTAGGCAACATATCTTCATTGTGAGCATGTTTCGTTGAATAATCTAGACATATTATGTTTATTTAGTTTTATTTTAATCGCCTCAAATTCACGGATCAGTTTCTCAATATTGTTACAAAACTGATTAAGAAAGACGCCGTAGTTTAATAATAAAAAAAATATAAAATAAGTTACCACCCTTACATATTCTTAACGTTAATTTTTGCATTGACTATAACGAGGCGCATTTCATGCGCATTTACAAAACAGCCAGTTGCATTAATTTTACCTCAGCAATTCACTCTTGAAGATGATCTTGGATTAGGCTGAAAGTACTTGGGGAAATAAAAGAAATAACCAAAACGACGACATCTTTCTCAATCAGTTTTGTACCAGCACTAAGAAATTGATCCATGAATTTGAGAGGATTAAATTAAAATAAATAGACATATGTTTATATTATTCGACCAAATATGTTTGAATGAAGATATGCTGCCTATATATATATATATATATATATATATATATATATATATATATATATATATATATATATATATCAGTGGTGACTCCGGCGGTCGGGCTTGTCGGACTTAGCTCGAATATACAACATACAAGTATATCTATCTCAAAACAACAAAAATCTTTCGTGGTGCGTCGTTTGCATTCTTGACTTCACCTGGATTCAAAATTAACTGTTTTAACATCGTACCTCAAAATATTGACTGAAATGCATTTCGTTGATATTGTTCATAATAAGAAAGAAAGAAAGAAAGAAAGAAAACAAAAAAGAAAGGAAGTAAAAAAAAAGAATGAAATAAAATTAACGTGGCCAGCCGGACTACGTAGATCTGAGTCCTATCGGAGCTGGAAACATTTCATAGGCAATTTCTTGCTTTAATTCTATAAATAATCTTTTAAAAATCGCCAATGACGTGTGTATCCTGTTTTTCAGAGAACACATTTTTATTTCAACTTATTCTTTACAAATGTTCATTTTAAATAATTTATTACGTGCAGTATAAGCTTTTTTAACAAAAAACACCCATCTATAAATAAAAACAATTTATATATATATATATATATATATATATATATATATATATATATATATATATATATAATGTATATATATATATATATAATACAAATATAAATATACATACATATATATATGCAATTTATATTTATATATTATATATGCGCAGTCTTTATTGGAAAGCGCTCAATATCAGCGATAGAGCTAACATATTTAGTTGCACTGATTTGAGTGCAACTAAATATGTTAGCTCTAACAATCGCAAAGGACGTGAAACCCAAGGTCACAAACTCACATCAACGCAACTAATATATATATATATATATATATATATATATATATATATATATGACAAACTGGAAAGGTTTTTTGTGACGTGTTTCCAGTTTGTCATATTTTTCTAAATACTGTTTGTTAATATATAAAATTTTATATCATTAGCACTCTGACAAAAAACTCCTTCACAAGAAATTTCCCTGATGTTTGGTTAGATTTTAGAAAGATGAGAAGTGAATAATACCAAGAATTTTTGGACTTCTCTCATGTGAATATATATATATATATGTGTGTGTGTGTATTTAGGCAGCATTTTTTCATTAATACATGTTTCATTAAATAATATAGACAAGTGTTGTCTATTTTATGTAAATTCTTTTCATATCGCCTTATAAGCTTAATAACATTATCATTAAAAGAAGAAAGAAAATCACAATATTGATACATTTTTTTTTAATCCTAAGCTTTCGGCTTACAAAACCATTATCAATGATGACAATTACATTACAATTTAATATTATGATTTTCTTTCTTCGTTTAATGATAATGTTATTAAGCTTATCAGACGTTATGAAAAGAATTTACATAAAATAAATAGATAACACTTGTCTATATTATTTAATATATATATATATATATATATATATATATTCACACGAATGAATGAAATCACACAAACACACACATATGTGTGTGTGTGTGTGTGTGTGTGTGTGTGTGTGTGTGTGTGTGTGTGTGTGTGTGTGTGTGTGTTGTGTGTTTCCGTTTGTTGGGGAAAGGAGAGTGTAAAAATTGTCTATACTACCTATTGTCCAGAGCGCTTTCGGCTACTTTCTAGGGGTTTTCAGGGGGGTTGTTGCTAAATGACCCCCTTGAAAATGGTTAAAGAGGTGACCGAAAGCGCTCGGGACAATAGAAATTTTCAAGGGATTTGAATTAGGCATATAAAGGTGCAGTTATCACCGGTAAACTTAGTTTTTTTTAGATTTACTAACAAACGATTTTTATTCTCATTTCTGTAAGGATACTAAATTCACCAAAAATTATTACTGAAACAATTCACTTCTATGTACAATGTAAAAAAAAAGAATGGGTAACACGTTGTTCTCATGAACCATTGAGATAATAAATATGACCTTGTGCTAAAGTTGAAGATAATACCTATTCAAATAATACCTGTTTTACGCTTTGTTAAATAAATGACAACTTGGTTTAATATTCCTCAGTTCAGACATTTTAATCACGACCCAAAAACCAGGTTTTGATTACTGGGAGGCGGACATCGTTATTTCGGCGCGAAAGCTTACGTCCGTGTTTTTTTTTTGTTTTTGTTTTTTTGTTTTTTTTTTGTTTTTTTGTTTTTTGTTTTGTTTTTGTTTTTTTAGCAGACGATAATCCATAATGTCGCACAGTTAATTACACTTGTTCGTCACTGTTTAACAGCAATCCCATTGACGTTATTCAAATATAGGTGGGTGAAACATTTAATGTGTTAGGTGATGGGCAAAAACCTTCATTCTTGAAAGAGCTAAGCTTACAGTAACTACAGAAAAGAAATAATGAATTTCAACTGCTGTAAACAAGAATATATCAAATGGGTGTCACTATTTCTCATATAAAATCTAGTTTAGTCTTTTTATATAAAGTCTACTTTAGTTGTACTATTTTTTTTACTAAGAAATATTGCCTTGGGTTTGTGACACTAGTGTTGATAGATAAGAAATAGTCTTTTGTCTGGACTTGACTAGGTTAATTCAATTTTTAAATCGTATTTTTATATTTTTATAAAAATCCTTGAAAACTGAAAATATAACTTTATTCGAAATCTTTTATCTGCACATTTGAGGCGTCAGTTTTGCAAATTCCAAATGTTTTCTTGTGAAACGAGCACCAAAGTTGTACTGGTTTTTGTTGGATTGTTCAGTCTAGGAAATTCATTTCCATGGAGACGATGGGATCATGGAAAATGGGTATGTAAAATGCGTTTTTATTTTTTCATGTTTATTAAGTTTAGTGAAACTTATTTTCTTGAACGTCTGATAATATTCCTAATTGGGTTTTATAGTTTGCATGTCAAATATGATCTTCATGACATTTTCAGCGACACTCGTCTATTTTATACCACTTGTACTGTTCCGTATTTTATACACATATCTTTCTATCTATCTTCCTCTCTCTATATACACACACATACATACACATATATATATATATATATATATATATATAAAATAGGAAAGAACTCAATTTAATTCAAATAATTATATTGAAGTTTTCGGCTCTTGTTTTGAAACATGAGAGCTCTTATGTAGTGTGTTGAAATCATATTTTTAAATAATTATATATATATATATATATATATATATATTCAACCTTTGGAAGTAAAGTCTGATGATCCAGAGCCCTTTAAAAGGGCTGTGGTGAAATAATTTATTACATGGAACCTTAAAGTGGTCTGTTTTTATTCAAATATATATATACATATATATATGTGTGTGTGTGCGCGCGCGCGCGTGTGTGTGTGTTTGTGTGTATGTATATATTAAAATCCGGCATATTTATAGGGTAAGGGTGCTCACTATCGGAGATAGGACGTTTATAGATACAAACAGTGCGGACATAGAAACCAACTGTGCATGGTAATTCAGTTTCACGTTTCAATGCGATCTTCTTGGTCAGAAGTTCGTATTGAAGCTTAAAACCCTATGCAATGTTGATTCCTATGTCCACTATGTCCTCTCTCACTCTCTCTCTCTCTCTCTCTCTATATATATATATATATATTACCATCCACGGACAGACTTTTTGGCTGTATCACAGCTCTTCAAGCCGACCTATTTTGTATCAGATTTTACCCCTAGGCTATCGTCGCACGGCAGAGGGGATGGGTATTTTTAACGGTTTCTATATATATATATATATTAAAGGGGAGCTGGAAGTTCTAAATCCGACTCACCAAATGGTAAACATTTAGATGCAATTACTTGAATTTCGAAGTTTCAAATTAATAACCAGGTTTCAAGGTTGATGCTATTAAAACGATTTAGAAATACTTAATTACTTCATAGTTTGCAAAGGCTAACAAGTGAGTGTATAAGAGCATCCGTGTGTGCCTGTATGTATGTGTATGTATGTGTATATGCGTGTACTTGTAGTTTTATGACCTAATGATGAAAAAATAATTTATTTTACCCAAGAATATTTACATTTTCAGTATAATCTTTTTTGCTAGTTTAGTTTAGAGTGCCTATTTTCCTCGTTTTATATCCCTCCAACCACACCATATTATTTTTTTCTTCATATTTTCTAACTTTAGTTCCTTTCCTTCCCCTTTCTCTGATGTTTTAAACTCTAAAGATAGTTTGACAAAAAAACTGTTTTGCTCAGTTCCTTGTTAAAAAAAAAACTTAACAGAGATCTAACAATTCCGTCCCGTGAATGTTTGACTACAATGTTCACGGAAACGAAAATAGTAAAAACTATTATGCAACTTTTAAAGTTCACTAAGTACAACATACACCTGAGGAACGTTGTGTTAAAAAGCAACTAAAATAAAGATAAAAGTTCAAAACATGTTTGCAATAATACAAATTTGAATCTCAGAACGCCAAAGGCCAAAAGATAACCAATTTCTTTTAAATGTCATATTTCTCTTGTTATAGAGAATCAACCGTTGGGAACATCAAGGCAAAGCGCGTAAGTATTATATTTTTAAAATTATTCTTATATATTATATCAGTTTTCTTTTCCTGCAAGACTCACACTCAAAAGTAATGAAGAAATATGACAGTATACAACTTTAATTTCTTGAATGATGAAGGACTGTGTCTTCGATAAAATTCGTAATTATAGAAATCATTTTTAGCCGCAGATTAAAGAGTATCATTGTTTCCACCAGGAATCCGCTAAACATCTTTTTAACAATAAAAAGATTTTTAAAATCACCAGAAACAGAACACTTTTTTTCTGAAAGAACTTCCAGTTGTCAATAGAAAAAAGGAAACTTATTTATTAAAATGTTAAAATAATTGTGTTTAATAATGTCTCAATAAGTTAGCACGTTGCAAAAATATTTTTAGTAATAAAAATTTCTTAAAAAACCGAAACAGTGCATTATAGTCAGATGTATTGAATCAAGGCATACCTAAAATAGGATAATTTAAAGAAATAAAAAAAAATCATGTGATTTGCAACTGAAATATTATGGCTTGAAAATATGAATTAAATATATGGGTGTCTGTATTCTCGCTCAGTTAATAAAAAAATTAATTATAATCTTTTAATACTATCCTTAATTTACTTTTCTTCTTTCTTTTTTTTTATTATTTTTCACCCCCAAGCAAAGCGGAAATGACACTAGTACGCAGGGGGCGGTCTTACAGAGGGAAAGTAAGATAAATGATTGAGGATAAGGAGGATTTAAGAAAAGACAAAAGATGAATGGGATTCAAGAAGACAGAAGATGGCAGATGACATTGCATTTACATTTTTAAAGATTGTAGTTATCAAGGAAGCAAGTAAACGGAAGGGATTTCAACAGGCGGGAAGTGCGAGAAAAGAAACTGTTGGAGTAGAAGTGGCGGTTACGTTTAGCTATTTCAACAGTAAACGCGTATTTACATATGAGTAAAAGTCTCAGTGTTAAAAAATAGTCTCCTTTGGCGCATAATACACAAACAATAGCGCATGCTGTGAGGGAGCGAATTCAATGATAATCTTTTATCTGTCATAGTTTTTCTCTCGAATGGTGAGTGAATGGGAAGTTTAATATATTATAAAATATATTATAAAACCAAGCTTAAGCCAGGTTTTATTCTTTGAAATCAGTTACGTGATGGATAAATTGTGAATATCTAATATACGATTTCATATATTACCACAGTGGATTGATGAAGCCTCTTTCAATTGAATGGTGACACATAAAGTTGAAAAGTAACCCCATGGTATATTACGACTATTACATTATTGGTAACTTATATCTTATAACGAGTTTTGTATAAGACAAAATAAGAGATTTTATTACTGAAAGAAAAGTAAAAGTTATTATCCATTCTATGTACAATAAATATACAAATATCAAATATGAAGATTGAAGTTGTGTAAAGTTATATTGACATTTTTCCCTTTCAAATTAGCAGTGATACTTAGTATGCACAAGGGTTTTGCATGTGTGTGTGTGCGCGCGCACGCATGTGTGTATTTGTTTTTTTGTTTTGTTTTTTGTTTTTTTTTCAGTACTTAAAATTCGACTTTAAAACAAAGACAACTTTTAAACATTCGTTCCTCCGATACAGAGAATTGCTTCCATAACATAAATCGGTAAATCGCTTAGTAAGTTTCTTTAACGAAAATTTCAGGACGTTACTCCTTTGAATATTTTAGCTTTTCCATTGGAATATTTTCTCGGATTTTCTCTGGTAATTTTTTAAATGTTGTGACGAATTCGCAAGTGTCGAACATTTTGTAGAAACTGTAAATAGCGAAGATGATCAGTTGTCCGACCAGAGCAGAGACGAAGAGAGCCAGGGAGGCGTTAAGCATCATTTCCTTTCTGTTCTTCCACTGGATGAAATAATAAATTTCACGTTGTCCGTATTCATTGGTTCCACCGGCAATGTAGTAGAAACAGGTGAAAAAGCCGTAGACGACGTTGAGAGACACAATCTGCCATGTGTGATAGATGCGTACAGGTATTCGGGAAAACACCATGTTGACTACGATGTAGAGACACCCTTCCAGATGGACAATAACTACCCAACCATCAACACTGCCGGCAGCTGAGTTAAAAGAAAAAAAAATAATGCAGTTAAAGACAAAAATATGATGTGGATGTCTAACTTGAATAATGGCAGTTACTTAGCAAAATAAGTATGCATCGGAGAAGATATCAGTAGGTAAGAAAGCGTTCACAAAAGTTATTACAAGAGTGCGGAGCTTCAGGTAAAATGCCATTTTTAGACCTTTTTCAGCATAAATACCCGAAACTATAAGATTCGAAGACAGAAAATGTATGCAAGTATGCCGTTGGAATAGCAATATACCACGTGACTAGTGAAGATAACTAAGTAACACGTTGCTAATTAAGCATAGCCAACATTTCCAAAATGAACAACAAAAAAAAAAAAACTATAAGCCTCATTTAAAAAAAAATGTTCCAAATCAAGACATTATCCGGTTTAAATGAAATTTTCAAGAATTTTTTAAGATGTCCATTAAAATCTACCAATTGAGATTCAGTTTGATTTTCTTCAAATGATCAAGTATTTTTATGCCAAAGTTGATATTGTTTATTTTAGTGCAATCATTAGTGAGTATATCTCGAAAGTCATTTACAGGGAATGTATCCTTTATCCTGAGCTTTACGATTCTGACCGTATGTTGAAAAGATGTCTGAGTCATTCTGTTCATACCTTCATTTGTTTTATTTTAATTGATACCCCCCCATGCAAGTCAATAAAGCCACTAAAACACAAGGGGTTACAGGGTGTAGAAGAATTAGGAACAGAAACATTAATAATGACTAGGAAGAAGAAAAAGTAATCAGGAGAAGAGTAGATAACGATTGACATTGCATTTAAATTTTTGCAGATTGAAGTTAACTGAAAAGCAGGAGGGCGTTCCACAAGCGAGAAGTGCGAGAAAAGAAACTGTTAGTATAGAATTTATGGTTACATGTAACCAGCTCATTGTTTTGTTTTTTAATAATTTTGATCATGGCTCTCCACATCTTCCTACATTAGTAGCTCTAAGCAATGTTCCCTTACTATCCCTCTCAGTCCCTATTCTGCCATCCACTTAAATAAGTTCGTTAGTTAAGCTAATCGTTGTTTCCATCTGCCACTCTTGTCTTCAGTATGTCAAATTCTCCAAGCCCTCTTTCCTCATTATGTGTCTCAGCATTTTAACTGCCTCTTTCTGATTCTAAGTACAAGTATTCTTTTTGATTCAATTTTCCTTAAAACTTCTTCCTTACTCACATACACTGTACATGGTATTCTCAGCATCCTTCACAGTTCCCTCAAGTCTCCTCGTTATATTTGAGGAAATTGCTCTGTCATATAGGAGAACTGGTATTGCATAACAGTTCAACAACGTGTTTCTTTGTGTCTAACGGAATTTTCTTCGTTTAGCTTTTGGAAGGAATCTTTCGTTATTCCAATGCAACTTCGGATTTCGGTGTCACATTTTCCGTTTTCTAGTATAACATTTCTCATCAATTTCATCTATTGATGCGACATTTTATTACTTAAACCGATAACAGCAAGAAATCAACAATGTTGAGATTCATGGTCAGAAAGCGAATGTTTTAACCACACGGCCACGTATGGAAACTATAGAAACCACTTGCAACATGTGGAAACAATTTGTAGTCTACATATGTAAATTCTGATTTAAGAAGATATTCTTACTTCTTATTATTAGGTTGGTGCAAAAATATTGTCGTTTTCTCTTTTGAAGTTGAACGTCAAAAAACGACATTATTTTTGCACCAACCTAATAGCATAAATTTTGCACAATGAACAGCTTTACCCACGTTAAGGCTACCCACATTTTAATGCAGTACACTCATCGCTTTGTGAAATCAAAACTCTTATCGATTTCAATATAGTTTGCTCTTTGCCCAATCTAGAATACATATGAAATTTGATACTTACGCCTGTGTGGATGGATGAATGCCCAAAAGAGTATCGTGGATATAAAAGTGGAAGGGTATGCCAAATTCATTACTGTCCACCATAGCTTCATGTACCATGGAGTCGTTGTTTCCTCCGATTCTATATGAGATTTTAAAGAATTTTTTCATTAATGCAATAAAAATTGGCATAATTAAAAAGAGCAAGAGAAAAACTTAAATAATACAGTAGTTAGAATATGAAAAGAAAATTAAAAAGCGAAAAATACTATAATTGATGTAACCTATTATCGCTTTTTACTCGTCAGATCTCAATAAGACAAATTAAAATATTGTGCACACCGACTAAAAAATGGAAACATGAGAAAAATATACACATATCAATAATATATTAATACAGATATATCTATACACAGATCACTCTCTCTCTCTCTCTCTCTCTCTCTCTCTCTCTCTCTTTATGTGCCGTGTCTCCTCAGGATGTAGATGACATGATTCTCCACAATTTGCTGTCTTTTGCAGCTCTAAATAAATTCAGTTTTTCCGAAAACCCTTTTCCTCCATCCATTTACTCAAGCCCGTCAAGTATGCTATGCATTGATTTTCTCTGTCCCTCTTGCTCTCAATCCGTCCTGTGAGTAACAGATTTTCAAAGTACTCCTTCCTCTTCACGTGGCCCAGAAATTTCAACTATGACTTCCTGATGTTAAGTATGAGTGTCCTTTTCGTTTCACATTTTCTCTAAAAACTCGTCGCTCACATGCTTCGTCCATGTTATACCCTAGAAAGGTCCATTTCTCTCAGTCATGTTAAGGATGTGTCCTTTTCGTTTCACATTTTCTCTAAAACCTCGTCGCACACATGTTCCCTCCCTGGTATGCCCTATAAATATCCATTGTCTCTCCAGTATGTGAAGTATAAGTGTCCTTTTCATTTCACATTTTCTCTAAAACCTCGTCGCTCACATGTTCCGTCCATGTTATGCCCTAAAAATGTCCATTGTCTCTCACTCATGTTAAGCATATGTGTCCTTTTTGTTTCACATTTTCTCTAAAAACTCGTCGCTCACATGCTCTATCCATGTTATGCCCTAGAAAGGTCCATTTTCTCTCTCTCATACTAAGTATAAGTGTCCTTTTTGTTTCACATTTCTGTTGTTTCAAGTCACTTCTTCATCTTTAAGGAAATTCTCTAGCATTCACTACCGTACAGTAGGACAGATATCACATAAGTGTTCAGTACTTTTTTTTGTTTGTTTCTAACGAAGTTTTTCTATCTCTTAATACTCTGCTTAGCTTTTGGCAGGCATCTTTGGCTATCCCAGTCCGTCTTTGGATTTCCACATTGCATTTTCCATCCTCTGTTAGAACACTTCTCAGATTTAAAATTTTTGTGCTTGGTTGATTTGATCTCCGATTTGTAATTTGCATTTTGTGCTCATATTTTTTCGAGGACTTTTAAGCGACAGTTGAATGATGATCCACTCAAAACTGAGAACATGAAAGGATGATACACATTCCCAATTTTAATAAGGTCTTCTGAGTTTGCAAACCCGGATGTAACGGAAAACATGCAAATTTTTCAGTCGACATTTTCTAATAAACTCTAGTACATGCTGGTCAGTTCTGTTCTCTAAGAGCTGTATGGCCCAACCTATGTAGTCAACTGCACACTGACACTAAATTTGCTAAATTACGGAAGTTGTTCGAAAGATACGTAAGCCATCTTTATGAAGTGATTTCAACACAGATAGGACCACTCCATAGATAGGATCACTCAACTGTAAGAGAAGAGAGTAACCCAACATTTACCAGAAAACAAAAGGTTTTTTTTTCATTGAATTATTATTTATATTTTGTAGCTCTAAGATATTTAAACATTTGTTTGAATGAAGAAAAAAAAAACAAATCTCACAGAGTCGGTCATTACCATCTAGGGATCAAAGGTCAATGGATTATAGAAAAACTCCGTTAGAAACAAAGAAAAAAATGCTGAACTGTTATGTGATATCTATTCTCCTATATGGCAGTGAATGCTGGACAAGCTCCTCAAAGATGAAAAAGAGACTTGAAGCAACAGCAATGTCGTTCCACAAAAGGATGCTGAGGATACCACGGACCGAATATGTGAGCAACGACGAAGTTTTAAAGAACTTAACTTCAGGAAAAGACAGTTGAAATTTCTAGGGCACATAATGAGGAAAGACGGCTTGGAAAATTTAATACTTCCAGGACAGATTGAAGGCAAAGGGGGGGGGCAGAGGAAAATAATGCATAAGATGCTTAGTGAGCTTGAATAAATTGGATGGCGGAACAGGTCTTTGGAGAAATAACAAAAAGACAAAATTTATTAAGAGTTACGAAAAACAGGAAAATGTGGAGAGCCATGATCGCCTACTCCCTGAAGGGACATGGCACATAAAAAAGAAGAATAAATAAGTGTGGGCGCGGACGCTCGCACTTAAACAATCACACATGCACAATAGATAGAAGCTAAGTAAAGAAAAATGAACAACGCCAGTACTGCGTACCTAGGAACTTTAACAATATTTTGAAATAGCTTTCTGTTTTCTTGCTGCTTGGTTAGCATGTACTTCACTGGAGTCTTTAACGATATTTTTGAAATTTCTTTATGTTTTATGTAAACTCCCTTTTCGCGGTCGATGGTGGCGTGGTCGGTTTAAAGATTCTCTTTGTTCTTTTTTTTTCTCTTTGAAGTTGTCGGCTGAAGTCCTTAAAAAATACCGAAACTTTTTAGCCTTTTTCTCTCCAAGCGAATTTCACATGTGAACGACAAAAACACTTCCGCAGCCAGCCTGCTTCCTTCGCATCTGACATCTAAGTCCTTTCTGGTCGAACACAAATCTAGTGTTCTTATATACTCTTAAATGTCGCTCAAACGAGCTTTATTTTAAAATTTACTAGGGCACAAGCCACTCCTTTTAATTGGACAAAAATATAAGTGGAATATATTTTTCTAAATTTGAAAAAAGTGGATTGCCAAAAGTCTGCTATGACCGTTATTTTTGGCAGTACTTTTTAGGATGAGTTCTAAATATATATGTATATATAAATTACACACAATTATAACAGTTTTTTTTTCAAAACCGTCTGACTTTCTTTCAATACATTTTCTCAAAAGTAAGTGTAGGATCCTTCATGAGATCGCTAAAAAAGAGCATAGCATGATGAAAAAGACGCCAAACTTGAAAACAAAACTTTATCGTCCAAATGTTTATGCTATTATTAAGAGGAAAGATAAAAGTATTTTGGGGGTATTTTTTAGATTTTTTAATCGTTCCTAGCACGTCCAAAATTTTCGTTAAAAATCTTGTTTTTTTCAGTCATGTCAACCATTTTTTCCATTTTATAAAAAAAAATGAAAATCTCAGTTTGAAAATCTTTTAAAAATCAATTATAATTTTTTCAAAACTTATTTTAAGAAAATCAGAAATTATAATGTTTATTTAAAATATTTTGAAACAAACATTATTTAGTTTCTGCTCCGAAAAGTTGTAGTTTGAAAATAAAACAAAGCAGGTCATAACATTTCGCGTCACTTGATAGGTGACGAAAGACATTTTCATGACGTATTGATAGCTTACGTGAGGATAATTTATTCTACGGAAAGAAGAGAAGTGAAATTATTTAGATTTAAGTGAACAAATTATTTACCTCGTTATTTTTAAGGAAAACTTTCAGCGCTCTATTTTTTTTTTTTTACTTAGCTTTCATCTTTACGTTTACGATGCTTTATGGAAAATATAAAGAAATTAAAATAAGACTGTTGAGAGTGAGATTAAATTTCATAAGAAAGGTATCTAATTAATTTATAGGTACCTTTCTTATTAAATTTTCTCAGAAATATATATAAAATACAAATTTAAATTTCATAAGATGATACTGATACTTGTAGGTACCCTTCTCAGTTGAAATTGAAAAAGGACATTTGTGAAAATTAATGCGGCTTTTAACTAATTTTATAATATTTTAACAACTTAAATGTGAAAATCAATTATAATTAAAGAAATAACAAATAATTGTATTAAAAACTCAGTACTTAAGTTAATACTAGACAGAAACTCAATCCACGTGACGTTTGTTTTTTTGTTTTTTTTGTTTTTATTTTTTTTTTTACTGCACGTATGATACTTCCGGTCTTTCGTAGATTTGATTTGCAGTCATATTATCGACACAAGTTATATATATATATATATATATATATATATATATATATATATATATATATATATATATATATATATATATATATACACTGGTGTTCGTTAGTTTGTAAGAAGCCTTGGAAATTATAATCTGTAAATATATAGCTACTTAATAACAACATTCGTTAAATTGTACAAACTCTTCCCTAATTTTAGAAGAATTAACAACATTTAATGTAAAAATAATAAAATATTTCAGAAATAACAAATAATTGTTTTAAAAATTCATTTTTCATCGAAATATCTTTTTGCTTACAGACAATATTGTTCATGTTCATTAAAATAATTAAAAGCAATTGAAAGCTTTTGAAATTAAGTAATATTTTTAATTTATTGAGTTTTGTATGTTACGATTCAGAGATGATTTTCATGTAGAGATGGTCCAACAAAAGAAGGAAAAACTTTTAAAAAATAATTAAAAAATACTTTGATCTTTCCTCTTAATAATAATATAAACATTTAGACGCTAAAATTTTGTTTTCGTCAAGTTTGGCGTCTTTTTCATCATGCTATGCTCTGTTCTTAGCGATCCCATGAAGGATCCTAAGTGTATAAAACAAACCCAAACAATATGTTTATTTACCCGTTTTAATTAAGTATTATTTTTAATTAATTTATATCACTAACTAATAAAAGGGGGCACGGTGGAGTAAGGTATAGCAGCTCGGATTGAGGAATAGTAGCGCCGAGTTCGAATTACATTCACTTACGTAATAATACCCTTGGGAAAGGTATGAATCCTCTTCTTCTCTTCCCAACTATGGATAAATAGCAGGACAGAGCGGGTTGGATGGCAACTATCGCAGAAAGAAATGGCAACCTACTGTGGGAAAAAATCTGCCTCGTTAGTTATGTATCGAAAAATACATGATCGCCTAAGTGTGTATCACGCATGATACATAAACTGACTGAACTAATAAAAAATATAGTAAAAGCGGTGGTGATAGCCATTTTTTATTTTACCAAAATAATTGAGAAATTATTATCGTATTGAATTATCGCCGGCTTATTAAACCTTTTTTTCTTGAAACAATTGATTTAAATTTCATAAACAATTGACTCAGCATGAAAAAGCACAATTGTTATAAAAACTGATCTTCGTCCATCTGAAAATATGTTTTTTTAATAAAATCTCTGGCTTTAATGTTTGCACGAATTAAAAAAAAAGGAATTAAATTGGTTGAATATTCATAATATTTATCGAAAATCTTACCACTTCGTAATAAAATCTTCCTCTCTTCTGTTGGTCGCAAGTAAGCCTCGCAGTAAATGACGAGAATGAGATCAACGACTGTGCTCAAAACTAAGAGCAGATAACTCCAGTAAGCGTAATAGATGAATAATTTAAGGCGGGCCTCTGCAGTGTGTTCGTGATATGTCCAAATCAGCATCATTAAAACAATGTGTGTGATACACACAATAAAACGCCACGTCATAAACCCATATCTTCCGAGGAACTGAAATCAAGGTGGAAAATAGAAGTAAGTTTAAATCTAAAAATTGGAAATAATTTGTTATATACTGTCAGTATCTCTAACACTCAACATAAACATTACCTCTCACTAACACTCAGGACATCCTCCTCATAAGATACAAGACAGGCAAACTCCCACCTACAAACATCGTTACTACATAGTAGTAAGCTAAGAGTAGTATCAATAAAGAATCCGCATTGTTCAGACCTACTGTTTTACCTCATTATTTTATATCGTTCTTATTAACATAATAGCAAAATACAAAACGGTGTCAGAAGCCCAGAAATAATAATTTCCATAATCCAGGATACACGAAAGAAAAGGGATGGTATTTCTACATCAGAATTGAACTTCACTGCAGAAAACTTAGTATAAACGTGGATAAAATAGAGCGATCAATTCAAACTATACCTACAAGCTACCAGATACGAAGTCTGGAAAAATAACCTCAATTCTATTAACATGTACAGGATCATGAGGAAGAGACATATACCCAACGTTTGTATTTGAGAATGAAGAACAGAAGAACTATATATAGGTGGTGATAGAAAAATTTAATACGTACTTCCAACCGAGGAAGAATCTAACGTTTCTCACGCATAAGTTCTTCAAATGCAAACAAAAGAACAGGGATTTGATGATTATGTAACGGAATTACGCCACAATGCGAATCAATGTGAATTTCGACAAATCTCAGACAGATTAATAAAAGACATGTTAGTATGCAGAATCAGAGACAGTGCATTACGCGACTGCATGATACGAGAACCGGAATTGAATTTAGAAAAGGCAATACAGGCAGGTCAAAGTGTGGAAGGAACCAGAAGACAGTCGAAAATAATAAATACTTCATCAGAAACAGAAACTATCTCCACGATAAACGACTAGAAAAAAATGGTGCCGAACCCGAAACCAAATTCAAAAATAAAAAAATGGCTAGTACAAATCACGAAAAAGACTAAAAACCCGCGAAAAAAATACAACTGGATAAACTTCTACGGATATTGCTCATGTTCACACAACAAAATAACTGTCCAGCATTTTACAAAAAATTGTAAGAATTGCGGAGAAAAGGGACACTTTACTAAAATGTGCAGAAACAAGAAAAAGAATTTACATAAAATAAAAATATCCAGCAGCAGAAAAAGGTCTGACGAGTAGTATGACATCAACGCCATTCAAAAGAAGAACATAAATTCAGTAGAACAGAATCGATGGACAAACAATCTTGGACTGAATGAAGCATTGGTAACATTTAAAATAGATACAGGTGCAGAAGTGAACGTATTACCTGTGAGAAAATATAAAAATATTATTCCAAAACCAAAATTACATAGGACATCAGTGAAGCTAAATGCTTATAATAATACGAACATTCTATTCATAGGAACAACACTACACAACAAATATTCGGAATTATTAACACACTTCATATTGGTAAAAACCAATTCGAACGCGGTTCTCGATGCGAATACATCCTAACAGCTACATCTAATAAAAAGAATATCAAAAAAATAAAAATAAAAAGGACAAAACGAATTTATTAAAGAAATATGAGCACTGTTTTGGAGAGATAGGCAAATTACTGTTTACGCACCAAATAACAGTAAACCTAAAAATAACGCCCGTTATAAATCTTCTGGGAAACATTCCATTTGGTATGAAACCAAAACTAAAAAAAGGAACTGGAAAAGATGACAAAAATGGGAATAATAAAACCTGTACAGGAACATACGGACTGGATAAACTCCTTAGTAATAACTAAGCACAATTGTTATAAAAACTGATCTTCGTCCATCTGAAAATATGTTTTTTTAATAAAATCTCTGACTTTAATGTTGGCACGAATTAAAAAAAAAAAGGAATTAAATTGGTTGAATATTTATGATATTTATCGAAAATCTTACCACTTCGTAATAAAAAATTCTAGTATTATTTTACATTCAATTTCCATTTTTTAGATTTAAAGCAAATGGCAAGCTATGATTATGCTTCGACCCGTGAGACTTGAATAAAGCGAAAAAACAAGAGCACTTCAAGTTACCTAAAGCGGAAGAAATATTTGCGGAATTGAATAATCCGAAGTATTTTACAAAATTAGGCGCATCAAATGGATATTGGCACATACCCGTGAAAAACTCCAAACATTCAATTCACCATTCGGAAGATACTCTTGTACTCGTTTGCTATATGGGATACACAGTACAAGTAAATTATTCCAAGTCCAAATAGCAAAAATAATAGAAGAAATACAAAGAACAAGGAATTCCCTAGACGATATACCAATATGGTCGGACACGCTCGAGGAGTACATCGAAATCTTACTTGTTATAAAACGCAGATTGTGTGTGTGTGTGTGTGTGTGTGTGTGTGTGTGTGTGTGTGTGTGTGTGTTCGTTTATATATGGGATCGGATTTCCTACATTTTTCAACCGATTTCAACAAAACTTCACTTTTTTTGGCAGGTAGTGTTTCTTATTGTCTTGCACACTTTTTTCTTTATTTTTACATTCAGAATGTTTTAAAAATTCCATTTACAAGACAATTGTTTATAATAAAATTCTATTCAATCGGTAGACTCATAACGATTGAAAACAATGTTTTTGTTTGAGTTTGGGTTTGACCAATTCGTAAAAAAAAAAAAAATAATAATTAAGACATGCGTGTCCGTCAACCTTAAACAATAATCTTTGTCAATTTTATTTTTCAGTCTTTATAATGGTCGATACTTGATCTATCTCTTACTGTTACATCCCCGGGCAACGCCGGGCTCTACTGCTAGTATTAAATAAAGTCTTCAGTCGAATACGAAAGTGAGGCTTAAAGTTAAATAAATCAAAATGCTAGTTTGCAACTAAACAAATGATATACATAGGTCACTTAATCTCACATGAAGGAATAAAACCAGACCTATTGCAATTACACAAATGCCAAACCCTCAAAATAAAAAAAAATCTACAAGGTTTCTTAGGGATGATAAATTACCTATACAAATTCATGCCTAAATACTTAGAAATAACTACAGTAACGAAGTACATTGGTCGTTTGACAAGCTTCAGAAAGAAGCTATATAAAAACTGAAGCAAATGATCACAAGCACCCCAATCTTGTAATTCTATAATCCAAAATTACAGATACAAAATTCTATCGACGCAAGTAAGAAATGGATTTGGCGCAGTATTACAACAAAAAGATGGTAATGTAGAGGACCGTGTAGGTTTGCGACTTGTTATATTAGAAACACGCGCTGTTTATTCCTGCTAGAAGAAGGTTCAATTACAAGAACATGGCGGACTCAAGTTGAGTTCAACCGAAGATGTAAAGAAAACAAACAAGACCGATATATATATATATATATATATATATATATATATATATATATATCGACAAATATATGTATTAAACAACAAATTTACAGGTGACAAAGACATCAACATTTGTGTTTGTGTGTGAACGTAAAGAGTTTGTATTTTGGTGAATGTTCGTACGTACGTGTATGTGTGTTTAATGCCGTTTTCCCACATGTGGGCGAAAACAGGGATCTCTGCATGAGATCACATTTTTAGATGTGTCCGCTGAAATGCAAAGTGAAAAAGAGAACGAGGTAAGGAGTCGCCCATTATTTATAGTGTAGGGAGAGCGACCCCTAGTGAACAATTAGGAAATTAAGAAGGAGTTAACTCCGACAGTAACATGTGGCTACCGATATCGTATGCATCAAGGGCGACAACAGCGACGGAACAAAATTATTGTACTATTGAAACTGAGACATTAAGCATAATATTTGCTTGTAATAAATTTCACCAATTTGTATACGGAACACACGTCGAAAATGATCACAAGCCGTTAAAACAGATTTTCAAGAAATCAATCACAATCCCCCGCCCCGAGAATCCAAAGATTTCTATTAGCATTACAGAAATACGAGTTTATGTACCAGGCCGTGAATCAGTAATAACCGACACACTATCACGCGCAACTCTATCAGATGACACTCAAGAAATAACAGATACAGAAATGAAAACGTATATTCATACAATATTAAAGCAATATCCGGTGAGTAATCACAAACCTAATACATATAGAGAAGAAACAAGACCCAATCTTACAAGTTTTAATGCAATACACAACAGCATGGCCTACAAAGAATAAAGATGTACCCAACTCAATTTCACCATGTATGACTATTCGTTATGAAATATCAGTTACAAAAGGGCTAGTATTGAAAGGATAATAGTTCCTCACTCTTTACGAAATGAAGCGTTACAGAAGATCTACACTGGACACTAATTGTCCAGTGTAGATCTTTCTTACGCTTTGTAACACCAAAGATGAACTGAAGGCAAGCATTACGGCAGCATTCACCAACTTAAACAAGAGACTGCTGGGAAGATTTGCAGTAGATTCCAAAGTCGTCTGGAGGCCGTGGTTGAAGCCAATGGCTATTTTATTGAATAAATTTACTCTTTAATATTTCAAGATATTTTTGTGTAATGTTGGTAAATATATCTGTTTAAATGATAAATCAGTGTTATTTTCATTATTGTGTCATTTAGACGACAATTTATCCATCGCACCCTATATATATATATATATATATATATATATGTATGTATGTATGTATATGAATAAAGACAAAAGGAAAACCTATCTTACCCGACGAGTTTAGTCCTCTGTGAGACTTTATCAAGACAAATTCAATGATTTTATTTTGTAACAAGTATTTATATACAAGAGCAAAGATGTTATTGGTTTTCCAAATTTTTGAGTTAGAGATATCAATATTCATATACTTTGTAACATATCATTCGTTGAATATACCTTGATGATTTAACGATGATATATATATGTGTGTGTGTGCGTATGTGTGCGTGTGTATGTAATTAAAAACAGAGCATTTACTTAAATAAATTGTATCTATAAAAAATAACTCATAAACAGAAAATATATTAAATAATTGTTGGACTTAATCCATTTCGTTGTATGTTGTCATTGTTAAGATACGTTTCATGAGCAGATATGATCGATCGAAAAAAATCGTCGAAGATTGTGTGTTTAAAAACAGTAATTTGGACTTCGCAAACCAGACGCTTCTCTGTAGCTAAATGGTATAGCGCGTCAGATCAAATGACGGTTTCCGTATAGGAATACAGATTCGATTCATGTCGGAGAAATTCCAAGAACATCAGGCCGGTAAATGTAATTAATAGCGTTTATTAAAAACAGTTACTTAAATAAATTGTATCTATAAGAATAACGTATAAACAGAAAATATATTAAATACATATATATATATATATATATATATAATTGGGCAGCAACCATTCTTTGAAACATCTTTCGTTAAATATGGCAGGCAAGGAAAATTTAATTAATGTTTTATTTAGTTTTTTCTATTTGGTGAGAGTAAAGGAAAGATGTTCCATAATATCCATTGTCTCAAGCGCTGCTAGTTTTTCTTCATATTTATTTTCGTATTTATTTTTGTGTTGTATAAGGTAGGCAATTTATTGTGCAGGCGCGCCATAAATAGAAAGGGGCCTAAGACAAGGATGCGTCTTCTCACCGGATAATAAAATCTGGTTGGACTTCTTGCTCTCTTAATATCGCCTTGAATATGTCCGGTGAGAAGACTCATCCTTGTCTTACGCTCTTTTCTATTTTTTAGTGCGCTTGCACAATAAATTTTATAACTGAATGGAAGCGGTTTGTTCCCACTAAATGTTCTGGATTATTCTCATATATTTTCCAAATAAATCAAATTTTCCTGGCAGATGAATAAAGAAAAATATTCTATTGTATTTAAGCAAATTGCGATAAAAAAAAATGACTTCAACAATCAAAATGGCTTGGGCCACATTACGTTGAAACATATTACGGTCATAGAAATTAAACAACGTTGAACCTGGTCAGTACCGAGAAAGGTGACCACTTGGAAATACCGGGAACTGTAAGCTTGGATATGCGGGGAGTGTAATGGATAACGTCTGAGAATGAGAAATAGGAGTTAAGCAACGTCGAGCTTTTTCAGTATCTAGATGGGTGACCGCTTGGAAATACCAGGCGCTGTAAGTTTGGATATGCGGGTGTTGTAATGGATAACGGCTCAGAATGAGAAATAGAAATTAAGCAACGTCGAGCTTTGTCAGTATCTAGATGGGTGACCGCTTAAGAATACCCGAAGGTGTAAGTTTGGATATGCGGGTGTTGTAATGGATAACGGCTCAGAATGAGAAATAGAAATTAAGCAACGTCGAACTTTGTCAGTACCTAGATGGGTGACCGCTTGGGAATACCAGGCGCTGTAAATTTTGATATGCGGGTGGTGTAATGGATAATGACTCGGAATTATTGAGTTCCAATTCCAGTCGGGTCCATTATATTCAATTACGGGCATATACCCTTCGAAAAGGCACGAACCCACTCCTCCCAGTTGTGGGTTAATTAGCAAGATTTGTATTACTAAATCATCATTATCTCGAAAAAAAAGAATTCTTACAATCTAAATATCTTTCCTGGCTTTCTAAATACAGAAACGTCTATAGATAAAGCTCAAGGTTAATGAAAAATGTTTGCAGATAATCAATATTTGATTAGTAAATACGTCATTAGTTAATTTCAGGGATTACGGCCATATTACGTTGAAACATCGGCTGCCGTACGATCACCGAAGTTAAGTAAAATCGAGCCTGGTTAGTTGCTAGATGGGTGATCGCTTTGAAATACTAGGTGCTGCAAGCTTGGGTGGTGCTATGGATAATGGCTTAGAATTGTTAATCGGAGAGCCGAGTTCCAATTCCGGTTGGGTCTGTATCTACTGCCAGTTATATATATAGTACATGTACACTGTAATTACTAAGAAATATACATTTTCTACAAAGATTTTAATTGTACCCTTTTTCCGTCTATATTTTTGATCATTTTATTTATTCGTTATGAAAATTAAATGATAGGATTGTAGTTGTGTGTGGAACCCTCCTTTGTCTTCTGGCAACCAATATTTTTAAACCCAGTCCACCACTCCCCATTTTTTCACTACAGTATCTGCCGCCATTTTCAATATGGAGATTTACATATGTACTGAGTTTCAATGAAAGACACAAGACCATTACTCCCACTTTCTCTTCCCAGAATAATATGGTAACGTGTTTATTATGAGCCGGTTATTGCAAAAAGACAGAATGCATGGTTGTTAACAAAGGGAACACCCAACATATAAATTACAAATTGGAGATACAAAAATCAAACAAGTACAGCAATTTACATATGTAGGAAGTATTTTAAGAGATGGCGGAAAGTGTGACACTGAAATCCGAAGGCGAATTGGAGTAGCGAAAGATGCATCATAAAAGCTAAGGAAAGTATTAAGGAACAGAAAAAAAATCGTTAGAAACAAAGAAAAGGGTAGTGAATTTTTGCGTAATATCAGTCCTCCTATACGGCAATGAATGCTAGATTATCTCCTCGCAGATGAAGAAGAGACTTGAAGCAATAGGAATATGGTTCTACAGAAGAATGCTGAGAATACAATGGACCGAACATGTGAGCAACGACGAAGTTTTGAAGAAAATGGAAACAAAAAAAGAATACTTACACATAACATCAAGAAGAGAATGTTTAAATTTCTAGGGTAGATAATTAGGAGATAGGGTTTGGAAAATTTGAAACTCACAGGACCGATTGAAGGTAAGAGGGATAGATGAATACAACGCATAAGCCTAGCGATCTTGAGTAAATGGATGACGGAACAACGTTTAGGAGTTATAACGGAAATACAAAATATATTAAGACCTAAAAAGCACAGGAAGTTGTGGATAACCATGATGGCCAAGAAGGACAGTGACACAGAAGCAACTATGGTGGATACAGCTGAAATCTGAACACTATTCTTCAAGTCGATACCAATGTATAACTTATGACGCCATCATTTTATAGGCTCTTTATGGGCAGCTTTAATTTTTTAACTTTCTTTTTTTTACTCATTACTCATTATAATTTTATAAATATATTTCTATTATAAAAATCTATTCAGCTATTTCTATAACATCTGTCATAGTCAAGTAAAAATGTCAAGTTGTAAATAAAATTAACAAGCGATAATGAAATGATCAATAATAATTGAACGTCGAAAATGATTGCGTATTTATCTTTTCGCGTATTCGTAAATTAAATGCCACATAAGCGTTACAATAACTTCACGAAGAAACACGTAAACATTAAAATATTTTTTAAAACAGAAATGTAAAACTTGATGAAGAGTTACTTACTCTGGGCGTGTAAAAAACACTTGGGTTTGAATAATCTAATGAAAAATTATTGAGTTGTAATTCCTGAGGACAGTGCATCTCTTTCGGTGACATTATCCTTTAGCAGTAAAACATGACTGCTACACTGATCGGTAATGCGTACCGGGTGTTACCTTCAATTATGACGTCTCAGACCATTCAATATCATCCAAACGAAGAGCAGCTTTGAAAAACATCAGCAATTGTTTAAATACTAACAATTACAAACGATAATGTTGCTTTGTTATTACAAAGTTTATTTATGAGAACACAAAAGCCTTAATGGCCGAACTGTTTTAATATATTTCTATGTTACAGCACAAGAGACTACAATCGTTTAATTAAGGAAAAATATACAGAATAGACACAATAAATTTTATTCCCATTTAAATTATTAAGGAATCTCACACTTTAAACAGTTTGTTATGAAATTTTAACATGTAAACTTTTATTTCATTTTATAATGTAATTAGAAAAGAACTCGAAACACTATGAAAAAATAGTATCAGAATGTAATATGATGATATTTTATGTAAAGATGATATTTTTAATGTATACAAAGTTTTAACCAGTCAAATGCGGCGCGTCGGTCAAATTGGCATTATTGTCTTAGTTCTCCCCAACTTCGATATTTTATTTTCTTGACAAATGTATACGAATTTCAAAATTTTTTGTGAAATTATATTCGCTGGAGCTTGTTTTATGTTTCAAGTATTTGCGGTCCTTGAAGTCTATCACAGCAGCAATCTATCTTACTATAGATATAGATATAGGCCCGACGTCAGAGGTGGGGCGGGGTTTATCCCGAAAATCACTTTCCCACCACCCATGAAAATATGTAAACTAATTTTAGTGTGTAAATATTTACGCGTGGTCCCCTGATTTAAAGGGACGCCCCACACTCAAAACACGCTGATGACGGACCTGCCTGCCTGTCTGTCTGTCTATCTATCTATCTATCTATCTATCTATCAATCTATCTCATTCGTATCTATTCGTATCTATTTATTCCTCTCTTTTCATATTTTCATATCTATCTCTCTGTTCCCATCTTTCTGTTTCAGTAAGCATGGCTAACTTCGGTGTTTGCAATGAGCAAAAGGGCAAACAAGAGTTAACATTCAAAATGATGACTTTTAATGCAGTTGGATGGAAAATGTGGATAGAAAGAGGGTAAAACTCTAGTCATGCAAGTAAAATCCATCGAGTTGATTTTTATGGATACGCAGTACTGAACATCTCTCTTTCTTTCACTCTCCCTCTGTCTGTCTGTCGGTCTGTCTCTCTTGCGTTTAACATATATATATATATATATATATATATATATATATATATACTAGTTTACTTGTGCTGTCAAAAATGATGGCAAATGTTTTTTTTTCTTTGTTTTTTTTAAGCATTTCACCCTAAGCAAGGCAGAATGCCACTAGCACCCAAGGAATTAAAGAGAGTGGGAGCGAGAATAAAGAGGCGTGATAGAGAAAAGGATGAAGAGAAAGATAGGGAATAGATCAAGATATCTGGAGATGTCGATTGACATTACATTTGAATAGTTGGAGATTATAGCTATCAGGAAGTAATAGGAAGGAAATTCCACAGACGGGAGGTGCGAGACACGAAGCTATTGGAATAGAAGAGACGGCTACATTTAACCGTTTGGTCAGTGAAAGGGTGGGAACGAGATACCAGCCTAGTTGAACGCTTAAATTCATGCAGTCTAGGAACTAGCGAAAATAGCTCGTCGGAGCAGTTACCGTGAAAGTATTTGTAGAAAAGACAGAGAGAGGCGACGTCACGTCTGTGAGAGAGCGACTGCAGGCGAGATGTCAGATCAGGGCAAAGTTTTAACAGTAAGATGTAATGAAACAAAAGTCTTGAAACAATGTATTGAGATTCAATGAAACGGAGATAAAGAATTCACAACCAAAATAGAGACCAATGAAACGTTTAATTAATCCGTTCCCTTTATATTTTTAGACGTTCAAAATGTTATGATTAATATAACTGAGAAATGAAAATATCTCTCAGAAGAAAAAGATTGGCAACAGAACGACATTTATGATAATGAATTATTATTATACATTTTTCAATTCGGACCCGTTTTTACTTTTCTTTTTTTTACGAATGTTCATTCAAAACAATGCCCAAGAGTAACTCAAGCTAGAGGACCACAAAATGAGTATGTAAGGGCGTCAGGGAGATTGGTAGGTTGATTTATTCTTTTTCTACAGCTTATCAACACTTTGCAGATTATTTAAAACCAGAAAATATTTTTAGATTGTAAGAATTTTTTTTTCAAATAATAATGATTCAGTGATACAAATCATACTAATTAACCCGTAGCTAGAGGGATAAAAGGTGGATCTACACCTTTACCCAAGGGTATTTGCGCGTAAGTGAATATAACGAACCCAACGGCAAATAGTCTAGCATTCATTGCCATTTAGGGACTGCTATTCACAACTCTTTTCTTTGTTTCTAACGAATTTTTTTCTGTTTCTTAATACTTTCCTTAGCTTTTATGATGCATCTTTCGCTACACCAATTCGCCTTCGGATTTCGGTGTCACACTTTCTGCTCTTTCTTAAAATACTTCCTACATATGTAAATTTCTGTACTTGTTTGATTTTTGTATCCCCAATTTGTAATTTGTATGTTGGGTGTTCCCTTTGTTAACAACCATGCATTCTGTCTTTTTGCAATCACCGGTTCATAACACACGTTACCATATTATTCTGGGAAGAGAAAGTGGATGTGATGGTTTTTTGTCTTTCATTAAAACCCAATACACATGTAAATGGCGACAGATATTGTAGTGGAAAAATGGACAGTGGTTCACTGATTTTAAAAATATTGGTTGCCAGAAGACAAATGAGGGTCCACTTACAACTACAATGCTATCATTTAATTTTCATAACAAATAAATAGAATTATCAAAAAATACAAACGGAACAAAAGGGTACAATTAAAATCTTTGTAGAAAATGTATATTTCTTAGTAAATACTTTGTACATGTACTGTATATATTACTGGCATTAGATACGAACCCAACTGGAATTGGAACTCGGCTCTCCAATTAAAAACATCAAAGTCCTTATTCATTACACCACCCATATATCCAAGCTCACAACATCTGTTATTCCCAAGCGGTCACCCATCTAGCTACTGAGCCGTTTCGGTGTTGCTTAACTTTGGTTATCGTACGAGAACCGTTATTTCAATGTAATGTGTGTCATAAGCCTGGGTTCTGGGAGAGCGCAAGGAGTGAAGATTATGAGGACAAGATTGTAGCATTCAGGAAAAAATTCTCTCGGGAATCCGTTTCACGATGCAACAGTTCTGCATAATATGGTGTCTGAGTCGAATTTTCTCTTTACTAATAAGGCAGTGTACGTGGCATGGTGGGTCATAGATGTAAAGGTCTGGACTGGTGAAACCAAGAATTGTAGCTTGTACGAACATCTGCTACGAAATTAGTGAGAGAGTAACGGGAGGATAAAAACTTTTTATTTGTGGGAAAGGGATTGGTGGGTGGAAAAATGACTCATCATCCACAAGGCCGCGTAAAATCCTTTGAACTCAGTCGAAGCTGGAAAATGAGTATTTGGCAGTTCTGGCCTAACTTGGTCACAAAATTTTGGCCATTGCACTCTCCGGCCTTTTACAAGTGTCTTTATTAATCAGTAAACTTCAAGAACTATTCTCTACTAGATCAGAGTTGCTTTTTTTTCTTTTTTAATCATTTCACCCCAAGCAAGACTATAAAGTCACTGGGACGCAAGGGGTTACCGAGTGTTAGAGAATGTGAGAAAAAAAACTACTATTAAGGAGAGAGGACAATAAAAGAACAAGTACTAAGAAGACAGAAGATAACGATTGACATTTCATTTAAACTTTTGAAGATCCAAGTTGACTGGGAAGCAAGAAGCCGGAAGAGAGTTACACAAATTAGTGGCCATGAGTTCAATCTCTGCCATGCAGTAAAAGTCTTGTTCAGTAAAAAAAGCAAAAGCATTAAAACAAAAACAAATTAGCTGATACAGGATATCTATGGGCAGCGTGGACAGCAGAATGAAGTAATATACAACTATTAAATGGATAACTTGAATAAATGTTTCAGTTCAAATTTTTCGGAATGTTGCCGAAGACATGTAAGGAAAGCCGGAGGTTACAACGGCCGAAGCGTTATGACTATAATAACCAAGATAAGGACAATCGTTCAAATAGAACGCTGCATAATAAATTGAATTGCTTTGAATTCGACTACTACAGTTCCTTGCGTGTATGATTCGAGTGATTGTTTAATTAATAATAGTTCTCAAGTTGTGTTCAAAATCATCGCGACTATTGCTTGTATTGTTTTCACAATTCCTGACCAGCTTTGTTATAAAAACCAAGGTAAATTATTTAGTTATGAATTTGTGATTTAAAGAAGCGGCAACGCCTACGATGAAGATTTTAAATACTTAAAAGAAAAATGCTTATTACAGTATACATTACACACACCTTGTATAAATGTAAACGTTTTTATATGTCAGGTTACTTAAAACAATGGCAGTGGAACAGGTGGAAAATACAAAGAGACCAGTGGAATCCAGGTAATATAATTACATTTTTTTTAATAGAAACACTCCCGAACAGTTACATTCTCGATAAAACTGGTTGATAAATGGTTAACATTTAATATATCTAATATGGAGGACTACCTAAAGGTGAGAAGCGATAAACAGTTTCTTATAGAACCAAATGCATTTTATATATTTTTATATAGGCTAATGCAGCAAATTCACGCTTGTAAGAATTCATAACTTACAAAACAATAAGATAAAGAAGAAATAGGAAACGTTTATAAATCTAACATGTTTCGCATTTATTAAAGCTTCATCAGAGAATGTGAAACATGTTAGATTGATAAACGTTCCCTATTTGTTCTTTCTCTTATCATTCTGTCGGTTTCTTATCCATATTTGATTTTTTAAACAATTTATTGTTGTTTTTTATGGAGTATTGCAGCAAAATGCTAGGCACTGCACCAAGTTTTTTGAATTTGAGCAATGCATCTTCGCCGAATGTAC